ATCATAGGCATGCGGCACAAATGCAGCCAGATATTTTTTCTTGTCATGATTCCCTAAACAATACAGAATCACCTAGGATTTACACAGTAATAGATGCTAAAAGTAATCTAGAAATGATTTAACGTATACTGGCATATTGAGCATCCAAGGAATATGGTGTCCACAGGACTCCTGGACCCATTCTCCCCTAAATAAGAGATGACTGTAGGGCCGGGGATTTAACTCAGTGGTTCTGCCACCTGCCTTGGAAGCACAAGGTCCCAAGTTCGATCCCTGGTACCAAAAAAAACCCCCAAAAGATCCGTTTAAAGAGCAAGAGTCTCCCACTCCCCTCTGTGCCTACTCTGTTGGGTGAGCTGGTATTCTGCTTTGACAACAAAGTGTCACCCTTAAAGTTTGCAGCACACTGGCACACACAGAATCCCACCTACTCCTCAAGATACTACAAAGTAGCGGGGGGCGGGGGGGGGAAGACCTGTAACCGACCCTATTGAGCGAGGAGGGCAGGGGTTTGTCCAAAACTCCAGGAGCAGTGTGGGTAGAATGGAACTGAACTACAGATTCTCTGCCTTGTCTCCAGTGCTCCTTCCGAGGCCCGGTGCCAATGCCAACCCTTGTCTGTGACCAGAGCCGGGCTGATGGTTGAGGGGATTCCCCCACCAGGTGGCCCATAGCTGGCCCCCCCACTGCTTGACTGACAGCTGGCCCGGAGCAATCACTACTTATCCTAGTCTAGGAATGCACCCTCTCCTTCCCACTCTTTCTCTTTTCCCTGGCAGTCCAGGGATTTCTTGCCCCCAGAGGATCAGTTTCTCTCTCTCCTTGAGATTTAATTACAAATCATAGTCTAGTTGCTCAGCTTCCTCCTTCTGAATACCTCCTACAAAGCCTTCTCTGTGCTCCTGGACAATCCTCCACCTTTCTCCCGCAGAGGAGTTCGGCCCACGGAGTGGGCACAAACCCTGTTATCTCTCATCTACAGCCACATGGCTTCTACAGTCGAGGCTGCCCAAATGTCAACGTAGAACTCTCAAAAGATTAAGATATACAATCACTTTCCATTTCAGTAGTTTTAACATTACTTCAGATATTTGTTCCTGCCTGCCATTACTAATGCGCTACTTGATTTTTTTTTTCTTTTTTTCTGTGGTTTTAATGAGAAGTTAGAAAGACTGGCAGGAAGGCTAAGAAAGGGGTGGGGTGTGAAAAAGGAAATATAGAAGAGCAGTCTTGTGAAAAATAACAAAGATATTGTAACCCATTACTTACCAGAAAAAAAGTTGTAATTAGTTAACACTGCTCGTGTTCTGAGACCACAAAAGTCTCTGATCATAATCTGTACAGCAATAGCCTAGCCTTTCTCTCTTTCTTTCTCTTTTTCCTTCTTTGGACAAGGTCTTGCTATGTAATTCAGGCTGACTTTGAACTCACTACGTAGCCCAGGCTGGCCTTGAACTTCCTCCTGCCTCAGCCTCCCAAATGCTGGGATTACAGGCATGCACCACGATGCCAGGCTCCTGGAGAGCCTACTTCAAAAGATTCCAAGGATAATCTTGTTTTGATCATGTCTTGATCCTTCTGACCAGTTCTGCATCTATCTGCACCACACCCAAACTGTGGGACATGGTACATCCTTCAGTTGCTAACAACCTTCAGGGTCTCTTGCCAGAGAGGCACACAGCATGGGGCAATGCTCAGGGTTCTGGGGTCAGAAGGCATGGACTTGAGGCTCTAAGCAATCACTTTAATCCTCTGAGCTTCGTTTCCTCACCCATAAAATAAAGAAAACAACCTCTATCTCATAAAACCATTGAGAACATTAAAGAAGAAAGATTTCTGATATTCAAATCACTATACTGAGATCTGTTTACTATAAGGAGAACTCTCATGGGCTTCCTTAAGTATCCATCCTAAGGCAGTCATCAAAAGTTTTCACAACTCAGTTTAGTCAATATCAAGAAGGAAGGGAAGAAGAGAAGGAGGAAAGCAAGTAACATTTCTGTAACTTTCCTCCCCCAGACATGTCTCTTTCTACTCCTGCCTCAAGCTGGCAATGTTTCTTCATTATCTTGGAAGCTCTTCAGATACTGAGACTGTGTGTCATTTTTTGGTCTTCTCAAAATTAGCACAGGAATGGGGATATAGCTCAGTGATAAAGTACTTGCCTAGCATGCATGAGGTCTAGTCCTTCCCTCAAAAAAAAAATAAAAATTAAAAAATTAAAAACTCTAGCACTGTCCTTAGCCCAGAATATACATTTAATATACACTTGGTCTTTTTCTTCCTGGTGAGGAACCAGTACCAGACAAGTTAAATCCCAGGGCTCTTAATATCTATGAGAGGATGTTCTCCTTTTGCATAAGGGATTTTGTGATTTTGATCCAGAAAGTTTGCAACAATGGTATAGGCCAGGGGTTTAGCTCAGTGGCGCAGCACCTGCCTGGCAAGCACAAGGTCCTGAGTTCGATTCCCGGTTCCGCAGAAAAAGATCTACACACACACAAAAAACAATGGTACCCACTAGTGGGATGGAAGGGAGATCCATGTTTTCAAAATAAATAGAGGCAAAAATTAGGAAGAATATGAAAAATAATTGGGATGATTATACAAAGTGAAGGTATGATTCTAAAGATTATTTATTTTCAAAAAGAGAAAAGTATCTGACAATCATCCACTTAACCATGTGACTGAACTTAGAATGGCTGTTGAATGGCCAGATGTTTTGATCAAAAACGTTTTGACTGAATTTAATCATGCCTGAACTACCAGTAGACAGGAAGCACAGGGATTGCAGGGGCAAGCTAAGTTAACCACAGATACACCCAGAATACAGAACATTCTACAAATCAACTAGGCTTGTTCCTCCAAAAATTGTCACAGAAAAAGAAAAAAGCTGAGACACTGTTCTGGATTAGCAAAGGGTGCAAGGGCAGATAGCGGCAGGCAATGTATGTGGGAGCCTGGGCTGGTTCCTGGTTTTAAGAGATAACAAAAAAAAAGAGGTAACTATTACAGGGCCTGGGGATGTAGCTCAGTGGTTCAGCGTCTGCCTGGCACGCATGAGACCCCTGAGTTCGATTCTCGGTACAAAAAAAAGGATAACTATTATAAAAGACTTTGAGGGGGACAATTGAGGAGATGTGAATTTGGACTGGATATTTGATGATACTAAGGAATGATTATTAGCTTTCTTTCAGATGTTAATGCGGCTATGTAAAAGAACCTCCCACCCAACCAGCAATAGGGATCAAACTCAAAACCTCGCACATAGAGCAAGGGTTCTACCACTGAGCTACATCCCCATTCCCAGGTTGAGTTCAGGCTTAATTAAGGTTAGTGGTAAGCCAGATGTAGTGGCACACATCTATAGTCTCAGCACTAGGGAGACTGAGGCAGGAGGATCGCTGGGAGTTCAAGACCAGCCCGGGTTACATGTAGTGAGTTCAAGGCTAGTCTTAACTATATAGTGAGGCCCTTGTCTCAAAAAAAAAAAAAAGTAAGGCCAAGGATGTAGCTCAGCTCACGCGTGCGAGGCCGGAGGTGGCACCACTGAGCTAAATCCCCGGCCCATGAAATTACTTTCAAAGAATTTAACTCCCTAACCAAAATAAATGTTTCTATACACACATACACACAGGTTGAGAAAACAGACGTGAGAAAATGAACAATTATTAAATCTAGATGCTAGGTATATTGGTGATGATTGTACTATTGTTTCAATTTTATGTTTAAATTTGTCATAGTGTTAGAAGACAGGGAGGCAAGGTAACAACCAAATTATTCTCTACCCAGAATAGAAATTTCTTTCTCTTACATTTACAATAAAAATAAGTCATAAAACTCATCCTAATGCATTTGGCCAGTTACTGAGGACTACTGGGACTCAAATCCCCTTGTACAACAGCTCCTGGGAGCTGTGGTTACACGGAGGACAAAGCATAGCCCTTTTACATTGAATATCTTTTTCATTGTCCTTTAACAGTCTTACTAGTCATGGTATAGATGGGAATCCTATCAGCACCTAACTAGTAAATTACTAATGTAGCTAACTGTTTACCATCTTAATTTTTTAATAAGGTAAAGTCCTTTATCTTGTTTTAGTTGGTAGAGAAACATATCACCCAGTGTGACAGCTAATGATCCTTTTCATGGGTTTAAATCCATCCCTTAGAAGTCCAGTTTTGAAGGTGCAGCTATTCAAAATTGTGGTGCTAACCACCACAGATTTAGTTCTAGGAAGCAAACTGAGCCTAGCCCTAACTGTCTGGCCTCACATAAGCACCCTCTACTTAAGACAAGCACTCTGTCCACTGGTGTTGACTCAACACCTCAAACTCCAGAGCCTCTGCTCTTCAGAAGACAGTGATTTACTTTCCCAGGTTCATGTCATTGAGGGTCTTCAATTCACAATAAAAAACCAGCTTTGGATAACCTTAGACCTTGTGGTATTGCTTCTGCGTGAAGATAAACTAGTCATCTGACCTTTCAGGGTTTTGTTGGGTTTTTTTTTTTTAATAGCAAAGCAGTTGCCATGTGAGGAATATGGGTATGCAGGTAATAAAGACAGATTTATGGAGTCCAGCTACCATTATCTCTGCTGGAGATAAGCATGAAAGGCAGCAGAAGATGAAAGCAGTAAGGACTTCAAAACTTCACATACTAGTTACTTCTCCCTTCCTGAACCCTTCTAAGAAGGACCGAGAGGTACTAGAAAATAAACTTGACGAAGTAGAACTTACCCAAAGATAGATAGCAAGAGAGAGACAAACTATCGCAGTTTTAAGTCCTTATTACTTAGGAAAAGACAAATGTGAAATGTAAGTTTGAAAATTAGTTCCAAGAACTCTCAACTAATTGATTCTCCCCAAAACGTAAAATAAAAAGTGAACCTTAATTATTAATATATTTGAAAACTTAAAAATAACATCTTTCCTTTTGATTTTTTGAAAGGAAAGTTTCAGTGTGAGTCAAACTCATCAGAGAGAACAGGAAATTCTTACCTAGGTACAAGGACGCATTTTCTTTCTTAACATTATCGTCTAAGTAGGTTGGTCCCAGGGTGTAAATAGGTGTGGAGCCCATTCCAATGAGAATCTGTGCACAAATGAACAAAGCCACATAGATCCAGTGATTGTTTCCTCCCGAGTCCTTTGGACAGGGGGGAGGCTCCAAAGTGGTCGTAGAGTTGCCATTCTGACACAGGCCGTCGTTGGAGGCCGAGGCGTTCAACTCTTGGATCTGGTAGGGCGGAGAGATGAAGTGAGGTAAGGCGAAGAGCGCAGCCCCGACGGCGATGAGAAGTCCACCCACGGCCAGCCACAGGGGCCGTCGACCCCGGCCGCCGAAGTAGCTGACGAACACCACCACCACCAGGTTCCCGATGTCAAAGCAGCTGACCAGGAGCCCGGACTCGGAACTCTTCAGACTGTAGCGCCTTTCAATGGTGGTGATGACACTGCTCAGGTACCCGGAGACCATCAGCGCCTGGATGAAGGTCAGAAAGCACATGCAAATCAGGAAGCAGCGGGAATCGGTGAGGACCACGTAGAGGCATCTTCTCTCTGGGAGCGGGGCCAGCGGCGCCGACGCTGGGCCTGCCTTGCTGAGGTCCATCATGTGGTTGTAGTCCACGGGCGCCGCAGTCCCTTCCGAGAGGGACGAGGCAGAGGGGCTGGGAGCCACAGGGTTCTGGCCTTGCTTCAGTTCCTGGTGCCCCAAAGAATCCATGCAGGCAAAGGCCGGCTTGACGTCTACACTCGCAGGACTGCGGCTCGGCCGGCAGGAGGCGCTGTTCGGGACCGGTAGGCTCGTAGACCTGAAGGTCTCGGGCTTGCTCTCCTCTCCGACAGCTCCTACCGCGGCCCGCGCCTCCGGCTGCTCTCCCGCGGGGGGCTGCGGCCCAGAACTTTCGTTCATGGCTCTTAGAATTTAGATTCGCTCTCTGACCCCACACTAGGGCTCCAACGCTTTTCATCCACCGGCACCAGAGACCGAAGCCAGGCCCAGTCAGTCGTGCCCACTACGGAGCGAGGCCGGGGGCGGCGGAGCTGCGCGGCCGGGCATCCTCATCAGCAGGGAGGCGCCTGGGACATCCCTGCCGCAGGTGCGGCCCCGAGGCCGGCAGCCGCGAGTTCCGGGGGGCGAGGGTCCCCGGGGTCCAGCGAGGAGCCCTGCTCGGCGTCCACCCCCGGGCGGTAGCTCGCGGCAGGCGCCTCGGGAGTCCCGCGCGCATCCCCGCCGAGCGGCCGGTGGCCCGGAGCCAGCGCGCCCTGCGCCCGGCGTGGGGGCGCCTAGCGCGGCCGTCAGCACGGCATCCGGCTGGCTGCCACGGGGGCCCGGGCCCGCGACACCTCGGGCGTGAAGCTGCCAACCTGCAAAGGAGAGGGACCACGGTCAGTGGAGGGCGCCGGGGGCCAGCGCCAGGTGACCCCAACGGTCTGGAGTGGGACGCAGGGGCGAGCGGCAACCGAGCCCGGAGGAGGGGGCGGCCGCCGGCTGCGGTCTCTAGTCCCGGAACAATAAGCAGCGGGCGGTCGCAGAGACGCTCCCCATTGTCTGCTGCGGACCTGCCCGCGCCCCGCCCCTTTTGCCTTAAACCGCACATTGGTTTTTATATGTTAATAATTATCAACCTGACAGCTCTGACTCAGAGGCAGTGTCTTTTATTCCAGTGAACTAATTGCAACCTTTTCGTCCTCCTACTCCATCACCCAAAATAGAAAATGCCCAAAAGAACAAAGGAAAGTTGGTTTTTTTTACAAACACACAAAGCATTCGCAATTAAAAGGAAAAAGAGGAAATAACTACGGTGTAGAAATGTGTGTACACCCTTGAGTGCTGGCAAGTGTGCGCGACTAGATGGGCATCTGTCTGCTCGATCAGACACCTATTCAAAGCCAAAGGCAGCAGCAAAAAGGTCAACGTGCTTGCCTCTTTATTCTCAAGACTAAAAATAGCCCCCTGTCCGAAAGAACTATTCAATTACAAATACCAGGGGCATCCGAGGTTGTGGGCCACACTAAGTTGCAAGCGAAATTGAAAATCAATTTGCTTTGCAGATGGGCTGGGGAAGCCACAAGCAAACAAAGAGCTTCTGGCGCGTTGTCATAGCGCGCACGAGGAGCCCCAGCCGCTCCGCGCTCGCTGGCCGGCGAGGAGGTGCAGCTTGGACCGAGCGCACCCCGAGAACCTGGGTCCTGGGGTGCGCGTGCGCGGACACACACACACACACACACACACACACACACATACACACACACCAGCGTGTATGTGTTGGAACTGCTCGTGCGATCCAGCACCCAGCTGGAATTCGCGAGAGCCGAACACAAGCGTGCCCCTGGGTAAGCCCGGGTCCCCAGTCTCGGGGAACCCCACTCCACTCCTCGCCCCGGGGCGATGTGCACCAGGTGGGAGGGAGCCAGGCTTCGCCGCTTCGGGTTTCATTCTGCGGCGCGCTTTTGTGATGTTGCCGGGGAAAGAAAGGATGAAGGCTGGGGGAGAAAGCGGAGAGGCAGGCGGGCAGCGGCGAGCGCTCCGCGGTGCCCTCGGTTGTGCTGGCCCGGCCCGGCCCCCAGATTCCCGGCCTCCAGCCGCTCGCCAGCCCGGGCTTCCCCGCCGCGGTTCGCGCGGGCGCCCTCCCGGGGAGCCCCACAGCAGCGCACAGAGCGGGGAATCCCGGCGACAGAGCCCCCGCCCGGGGGGGCACCCCCGCCGCATCGCAGACGCGTGGACACGCGGAGCGCGAAGGGAGCTTCCCGAGCGCCGGGATCCCGGGGATGCCCGCGCGCACGCGGGAGGGCAGGGCTGCCGGAGACGGCGAGCCGCGTTGCCCGGCTACTCACGAGCGAGGCTGCGGTCCGCCGGCCGAGTGGAGCGGCGGGAGGCGGGGACTGTGCAGGTGCGGAATCGTGGGGAGCCGCCGGCGGAGGCCGCCCCAGTCCAGCCTCTGAGAATCAGTGAATGAGGCTGCGACTCAGGCTGAACTCTTCCCTACGGCTCGCCCGTCACCCAAGCCTCGCCTCCAGACACTCGCGCACAGAGGCGCGCCCGGAGCGGAGCGGCAGAGGGCGCAGGCGCGCGAGCGGACACCCAGCCCAGCCCCAGGCAGCCAGCCACCCGGTGCCCTTCACCTGCGAGGACAGAGGGTCGACACTAACGTCAGAGGCTGAGGAAGAGAGTGCACTACGAATTATTCCTGTTTGTTATTTCTGTGCCCTGGGCACCTACCATGTCTCACACACCACAGTAGATTCTGAGGACCAAAGATGAGCAAGGCAGGATCCCTGGTATGAGGAAACCTCTGTCTTGTGGAGGAAACACCTGTGTAAATGTCCTAACACAATGCAGTGCATTCTATACGCCATCCTATTGGGGAACCTAATGTCCATTAAGTAGGGGAGGCATATGCAAAGATACTGGGGCACAACCTTTCTTCGGGCAGGGAATTTAGCTCAATGGTTCCACCGCCTGCCTCGAAAGCGCAAGGTCCCAGTTCAGTCCCCAGTACAAAAAAAAAAAAAAAAAAAGACACTGGGGCACAGCCCTACAGGTAAACAGGTAAGCGAACTGCTGGGAGACTGCAGAGATGGGAGGCTCCACTGTAAGAAGTACAGAGTAGAAAAAGTCAGCAAGGGCTTCATTACTGGGTGCTATCTGGCTGGGGGGACTGTGACATTCTTATTTCCTAGCCAGAAAGCTGGTTGTCGCGGTGAAGGGTAGACTGAAGAGAGACCTCACGGTGGACACAGAGACAAGTTAGAAGGCACTCTCAAGCCAATGTGATGAGGCAGGGAAGGAATCACTGAAAACACATTTCAAAAGTAGATGTGGCCAGACTCTACAGCTGACACGATGTAGAGCATGGGACAATGGGACAATGTGGGCCAACTCCTAAGCTTCACTTTTGGGTGGCTGGGACGGTGATGTCTGATGAAAGCACGAGGGGAGAAACAGGCTGGAGGGGAAAGACTGTTCCCATAAATATGGGTTGGGTTTGAAATGCCTTTGGGACAGCCAAGTGCTCATGTCCCTTAGCCACTGGACATAGGAGGCACAGAGGGTTGGACTAGGGATAGACGTAGACTAAAGATGGCCTTGGAAACACCGACAGAGTCTGAGAAATAGGGAAAGATCCAGAAAAGAGTGGATGTTATTGAAACCAAAGGACCAGACTGCATTAAACAAAAGAGCCAGCTGCACACAAAAGCCTTCAGATAAGTCAAGCAGAGTAGTAACTGAAATGAGCAGGACCAGCGGAGGAGAGAGGGCATCACCTGTACCAGTGCCATGCTGGCTATTGCTGCCATGCCAGAGCCATTCCACTGTGCCCTGGCCTCACCCAGTGAGAGTATCTTATCCATTTCAATATGTGACAAGTACAGAGAGGTCAAGTGAGTCGTAAAGGCACACAGCTAATCTGTAGATGGTAGAAACCCACATGCTCCAGGAGTCTATCGTAACCCTTGTTATGGCTTGTGTTTAGGGGTCCCCCCCCAAAGCCTCATGCTTTTTCAGAGGGTGCTGAATCTAGAGTGTGTGATGATTCACGGTGAGGCTAGGCCTGAGGACACTAAGATTAAAAGGCATGAGTGCTATCTGCCCTAAGTAGTCTGAATGAGATAAAAAACAGCAGGAGGATGCTGTTAAGGTCTCTTGTTTTGCTACCTCCTGCACCATCTTGTTTCTCCTCTGCAGTGCCCCTCTGTCACCCTTCCTTGGAGCCAGCCAAGTATGGTCTGAAACCTCTGTGAACTGTAAGCCAAATAAACCTTTCCCCCTTTAACTTTGGGTGTTTAATATTTTGTCTCAGCGATGAGAGAAAAGTAACTATGACAACCATCAATTTCTACACTGTCCCCTCTAGCTGTATAGCGTCTTGACTTGCCAGTGCACCTTATATCTGTTAATTATTTCACTTTAGTCGAATACCCTATGTATCTACAGCAGATTCTTGGAGAACCAGGAAGGTCAGGAGATACCAAAAAACAAGCTGAAGTCCATGCTGAAACAGCTCAAATCCAGCAGCTGCTGGATTGATGATCAAATAGGCTAGATATGCATTTCTTCCTCCCCTGTGGCTGTTATCTCCATCAAGGAATGCTCTGGTCACTTTTCTATACACACAGAGTATAACTCCAGTTGCCACCCCTGCTCAGATTTTAGTCCCTTTCTGTTGATAAGGTGGACAAAGATTTGTGATACTTCCTCTACCCAAATATTCTTCTGAATTTATTCTGAATCCCAACAGAATTGATCTGCCACTTCTCACCTCTTTCTAAGTGCTATGCCACATCCTGTCATTTCAGCCTTCAAATATCAGCAGCTCTGTGGCAAATCCAGTCTGTTGTGTCAAGGCCCAGCACAGGGCTTCCCTACAAGAAATCCAGCCACCAGGTCCCTGAGCACACAGATATCAACTACCCATGGTCAGCCACCGTGATAAACTAGAAACAGCTCTAAGGACCTATGGATTATTTTATTGTCACTAATAGAAAGGTCATGATTTATAGACAGAATGTAAAAGGTCCAATTAGCTGTCCACACAAGAAACAAAAAAGAAACATTGAGCAAGGACCATTTCCTTTGCTTTCTCCCTCACCGTTCAGTACAACTTCAGAAGAGGCCAGGAATGGCTCCATCAGCCCTGATCTTCAGATTACTAGAAAGAAATGACTCACAGCCACCCCGGCTTAGTTCAATGCATATACACAGCTGCCTGGCCTGGAACACCTGTCTAATCGGTACCCTGGGAGAAGGAGCAGATGACTGTAAATACCCTTCAAACTTTTAAGGCTTGCTTGCACTTCTTCTAAGTTGCTCTAATTTAAACATAAATGGTTTCTTTTCAGATCTTCAGATGTCCGGAGTGTAGCCTTTGGAGTAACTGCACAGGAGTTAAAATCTGGCTGCTCTGAGAATGGGGAGGAAAAGCAGGGCTGAGCCCGATCTCCTCTTCTTTCCTTCCTGTTTCAGAGGGACACTTTCAGAAGTCTTCTTTTGATACAATGACAAGGACTGGATCTTGACCTAGAATATTTTGTGTGCTTAAAATGTAATACATAGTCACCAGTACCATAATTGAATCGTGTATCAACTGTTTAAGAAGGAAGAAATTTTATCTTCAAGTGAACGTCTTAATAGAACTTGGCACCTAGACCCATATTTAGAAGTCAACTTCAAGCTGGATAGAACACAAGAGGAATAGGTCTGGCC